CTCCTTAGAGGATATTCCCACATTATTTTCAAATTCACATATTTCCACAAAAGCTTTTCAGATGATATAGTTCATTAAAAAATGTATTAACATTAAAGTGATATTTCTGATGATTACCAGCTTTAGCTGTATTAGCGGCAATATTTCTATTGCTAACTTGCCAACTAGGGCATAGAACTAGGGTTAAACCAAAAGTTTATAGAATTATATCAGTACTCTTCTTCAATGTCTTACAGTCCCTTAAGCTTCCATAATATCAGCATAATGTTGCCTGACTCATTTGGCTCCATCAACATCTAGGCTGTTATATAGTGCAGTCACTCCAGCTTCCAAAATGTCCTCAACATAAATTTCATTATAGTATAGTCTAGTAACTAGAACATAAATGAGTAACTGAAACAGTATTTTGATAAGGTTATTGCTGGCATTGATGCCTTTAGCATTGCAAATTACTTCAACCATAACACTTTCAAGCAGAGCTCAAAGATAAGGTAGACCAGCAAATCATAATCTTTTCACAGAATTCCGCATTTCAAGACAAGCTGAAAATATGTGTATAGAGCTACTAGCTTTATTGTCCACATCACTTCCAGAATTAAATTACATTGCGTTTATCTTTAGCTATTCACAAACTGTGTCTAGACACCTGCTTATATCAGTACATAGGTTCAAGTCCGAAGTTAGACATAGAAACTTACTGGGCACTGGGACTAGTCACCCTGCTCAGACTTACAGCTTTGCTTTTGTAGGGATAAAATAAAGAGAGATCCCCATATGACCTATTTTGAGCTCATAAGGGAAGGCAGGATATGAATATGTCTGAGGAACATATCCCTAAACATCCCACTTATGCAAGGTATTTGGATTTTATTTTTCCAAATAGGAGAGCTTTTCCATTCATTTTAGCAGATGGGTCAGCTTTATGTACATTTCACTTTATGTATACCAAAACATCTTTTCCAGTGAAGTGAATGACAAAATCCCATTTATGCCATTTGGCATAAATTCTGGAATAGATATTTTATATTTCACACATGTAGTCCACTAGAACTGCTTGGCAATATCTTTTGTGTCTATATCCCACTAGTAATCCTTGACTGACAATCTCTAATATCAATTTATTTATTGATACTATCATGTCTTAAATACTCAAGTTTATACTGGAATGTTGTTGTTGTTGTTGTTAATTGCGAAGTCGTGTCTGACCCATTGCGACCCCATGGACAACGTTCCTCCAGGTCTTCCTGTCCTCTACCATCTTCTGGAGTCCACTGCTCCATGCCTACTGCTTCAGTGACTCCATCCAGCCACCTCATTCTCTGTCGTCCCCTTCTTCTATTGCCCTCAATCTTTCCCAGCATTAGGCCCTTCTCCAGTGAGTCCTTCCTTCTCATTAGGTGCCAAAGTATTTGAGTTTCAACTTCAGGATCTGGCCTTCTAAAGAGCAGTCTGTGTTGATCTCTTCTAGGACTGACCGGTTTGAACGCCTTGCAATCCAGGGGACTCGCAGGAGTCTTCTCCAGCACCATAGTTCAAAGGCCTCAATTCTTTGTTGCTCAGCCTTTCTTATGGTCCAACTTTCACATCCATACATTGCAACTGGGAAAACCATGGCCTTGACTATACGTACTTTTGTTGGCAGGGTGATGTCTCTGCTTTTTAGTATGCTGTCTAGATTTGCCATAGCTTTCCTCCCCAGGAGCAAGCGTCTTTTAATTTCTTGACTGCAGTCCCCATCTGAGGTGATCTTGGAGCCCAGGAAAATAAAATCTGTCACTACCTCCATTTCTTCCCCATCTATTTGCCAGGAATTGAGAAGGCTGGATGCCATGATTTTGGTTTTCTTAATGAGTTTCAAATATGCTGGAATAGCAGGTCAATTTCTATGTAGAAAGATGTATATTGATATCACATTATTTAAGAAATAAATATTTTAACATTCTATTGCAATCACAAACTAATGTGAAGCAGAATATTATAATCTTGAAGATTAAATACTTTACTTTGTGGAGCTCTATGTAGGGGCTTCTTATTTTGTTTTTTATGAAGCATTCAAGCCAATTTTTTTTTAAAATAAAGTATCTTCAAATTGATGCAAACATACATTTCATGAGAATTTATGTTAAGAAAAATTAGAATAAAATGGGGAAATCCCTGGCTTGGTAGCATCAGCTTCCTCTACTTTGGTGCCCTCCAGTCAGCACCACCTTCATTGATGGGAATCTAAAAACTGAAATGAATTTACTTTACTTTTTTAAAAAAATATTCTTCTATAGTTCCAACCTCAGATTTGAAAAAAAAATCTAATCAATCCATTTGGTCATACATTATTGCACTATATGAGATCCAAGTCTTTGACGGAAGGAAATTAGGTTGAACTTCATACACGAGCATCACCCGCCCTTAGAATTAGAAGCTATTTGAGACAAGATTTTCTGCTAAGCTAATGAGAATCAGTGCTTGACAGAAGAAGGCAATTTTGAGTGCTAGAAGCTTTTACATGCTAAATTAGTGGCATTTGGGAGGAAGCTATATTTTTTCACCAATAGAAAATTAGCTACCGGAAGCTGACAACAAAGGAAGTTATAAATGTGCTGAGAAAGATAGCATTGATCTTTGAGTCAAAGTACTATAATCAAACTGTGTGGAAAAATATAGAAATGTCATTCTGATGTAAATAAAGTGTGATCTATATCTCAGTTAAGTCAAAATAGATCTTAAGCACAAATATCATTTGCTGATTTGGTTTTATAGTTTAGTATTCACCAGTTTAGCCTTATAAAAATGTTTTAAAAATCAATGCAGAAAGATATTTCCAGCAATCATTTATATAAAACAAAACAAATAGCAGATGAGATCATCTGATGATCGATCTGATGCTATATTTTGTCCTTGTGATTTAATATCAAGGGAAAATGAATTAAAATTAGATTTAAAAAACAGTACGTTTAATGATCTTTTTCTCCTATAAGATGCAATATGCAAAATTAACCACAGTTTTGATACTTGACATCAGGCTTGAACAAAGCATGCAAAAGTGATTCTTTGCAAAGAATACTAGCAAAAGCAAAACACTCTCTTGCAAGTATTAAAGCAACTGCATCCTCTGAATAGTTAATGCGGCTGCTTACAAGCATGCACCCAGCCACTTGAACATTTGTTTATTTACCAGATTTTGAAGCTGCTCTATTCCAAAAAGTTTATGGACAACTTATAATTTTAAAGAAATACATAATATGAAAAGAAAAACATGAATACTCAGACAGAGGTACATTAATAACAACACAAAAAACCAATTCACCCTTGGCCTGGGAACAGAGACACAGATAACAATACCACTGGGATCACCAACAAATGAATTGTGCATGTCCTCACAACAGCCAGAGGCAACATTTAAGACTGCTTGTACGCTTTCCAAAGAATCCAGATACTTTAACTTTTCAAGAAGGTTGCATCATTCATTCTAACATGCTTTACAAACATTCTTTCCAAATACTTTGCATGATCCTATCATATACCTACACTTATGTGTGTCTTAAAAATGATCCCACCATATCCAATGCATCTGGCTTCCAAATATTGCATTATTCCAGTGTGCATTGTTAACACATTTATACTCCAATGAATTTAGTCTATTATTTATATTTATTTATGTGACATCATTGTTCAACACACTTTTAAATAACAGAGGCAACAGCAACATGCCTACACTTCTAGACACATATAATCTAAATTCTGACAATTGAGAAACTAAAAAAAATAGAAAAACAAATCAGAGAAATAAATAAAAAGAAATAATGAGATAGGATCAGGAATGGGAGATGCTTGCCTCATTATTATTAAATTTGTATGCCACCTGACTCTGGACCACTCATCACAATCAAAACAAAGAAATTATAATATAACCAAGAAAAGGAAAAACAAAGATTTATTTTTAAAAGATAGTCTGAATGGAATGAAGTAAAAGTCTGGGTTGAAGAGTGGACTGCTTGGGACTGCTTGCAAAAGGAATTTGGTTTGAAGGTCATGTTTTTTTCTGGCTTTGGCTGGCCCTCCCAACCACTGATCTAGTGTGGGAACCCTCTGTGTCAATGGGGGAGGTGGGAAACCTGTTTTAGGCTTCCTTATTTTTCTTATAGGGAAATGGGACTGGAGAATTACATAGACAGATTTTGCACTGTTTCAGCATAACAGCTAGAGGTTTTCCAATAATACCTGCCTGGTCCCCAATATAAACTATAGGGGCAGTTTATTCATTCATTTATTTATTCAGTTTCTATAGTGTCCCATCTCAGTCAATGAGTCCACGTGGTACAGTTGCTTTGTATGTCATCCCCAATTCTACTGTTGCTTTTGAATATCTCTAAAGCAGATGTAATCTACTGACCTTAGCAGCTGTGCACGATTGGATATGTGGTTACTAGAACAGGGAAAGCTCTTTGTGAGACAATTAGGGATGTGAGGAAATGGGGAGAAAGCCAGAGATAATTGGGTCACAGGTACTGACCCAGAAAAAAAGATTGTTTACTGAGTTTGGAATTAGGGTTTGTTCTTTTCCCCCACAACTGATTCATTTAAAGTCTACACACAACTTCATAATTACACTCTCTGCACTCTTGATCATGATCTGGCTGGCCTCAAACGTGTCTTAACTTTGTCCTAAGCCACAAAAGGACATCTGATTATTATCTCCCTGTTCAGCTTCTTTTGTGAATTTTGATTTAACACTCATATCAGGATAAAAAACTGTTCAATTCCATTTTTTTATACTTTTTTCCCCTTTCTTGTAGAAATTGACTTTTATTGAGGCTTTAATTGCACTGTACAATGCTTCCCCCTCCCCAGCTTGACATGATGAAAAGAAAGAAGTATTCTAAGTAGCAGGCTGTTCAGAATTGCCGAGATAGGATTTAGATAGCCAGCCACAGCAATGCTTCCAATTTTCCACATGTATTTCAGGAATTCCAAAAAGGAAGAGCATCATAATAAAGTTTACTTACTCGATTGTGTTTCTGTCCACTTTTCCTGTCGTGTTAATGCCATAGAACTGCTGCATGGCAGCTATAGCAGATTTCATTGTCTCTGCAGTGCGCAACACTGACATTCTGGAATCAGCGGATGGAAGATAGCCGTATTTTTGTAACCACACCTACAACAACAAGCAAAACGTGTATTAGGCAGGATTTATGGTCCAGGATTTCCTAATCATTCATCTTCTAGTTCAAACACTGAGAGAACCATTTCAAGTTTGATTAAATCCTATTACAATGAAGGAAAACTAAAAGTGCATTTAGGTGCTTCTTTTCCAATAATTTAACTGGGGTACATGTGCTTAAATAATATACAGCTTATTCTCAACCTACAACAGTTTGTTTAGTGACTGTTCGAAGTTACAACAGCACTGAAAAAAGTGACTTATAACCATTTTTCACACTTATGATCGTTGTAGCATCCCCATGGTTATGTGATTCACTTGTTAAGTGAATCATTGCATCTGCTAACTTAGTAACATGATTGTTAAGTGAATCTGGCTTCCCCATTGACTTTGCTTGTAATAAAGTTGCAAAAGGTGATCACATGACCTGGGGTCACTGCAACCATCATAAATATGAGTCAGTTGCCAAGTGTCTGAATTTTGATCATGTGATGCTGCATAGGGAGGCTGCAATGGGCATGTGTGAAAAATGGTCATAAGTCACTTTTTTCAGTCCCGTTATAATTTAGAATGGGCACTAAATGAACCATTATAAGTCAAGGGCTACCTGTATTACCATTCGGCATCTCAGACAGCTAGTACCCTTGCCATTCACCATTAACGTATTGGCCAGCTGAATTCCTCTCTCCCCCATTTCTGACTGCTGTAATTATCTTCTCCAAATATAGCAACCTGCGAATTCACTTTGTAGGTAAAGAATGGCGGCTGCTGCTACAAAGACATTGTCTTTTAAAAATGCCCCTGACAGAAGTTCTCTAGAAAACTAAAAAAAAGAGAGCTACTATTATGGTAGGAGCACAGAAAGCCATTGGTCCTGCCTCCAGGCCTGCAAACAGAGTCTTAGAAGAAAAGCTTTAGTATGAAAAGATGTGCTTGCTCAGTGAATCATTTGCTCATTTTAATCTTTTGTTCAAGAATTTGCACAGAATTTGCAAATTACAGAATTGTTATACAAAGTAAGTTACAAAATGCAGTTAAGAACTATCTTCATGTATTTTCCCATTCTTTTAAATAAAAAGTAAAAATAATTTTATCCAAATATGCAAAGCGAATTGAGCCTGTTTTACTAGAGAAAGACATTAACCTAGTTATTATGCTACAAAAGAGGCACAATTCCCTTCATGGCCTTTCAGGTAAACATTTTTAAAGGTGAAAAAGAAGGAACAGTGAATTGGTAGCAGGAAAGCACATTTGACTAAGCTGCTGTTGAATATTCAGGAGAGGTGCTACTGTTTTTTCTTTCTTCTGAGCCTGCAACTCAGATTCCAAACCTTGAAGACCTTCTTCAATCTTAATTTCATGTGGATGGATTCATTAGTCAGGGATTTATTTTGAATAGTCTATGCTCCGTGGAAATTAATGAGCCTCAGATGAACTTGTTTGGAGTTATCCGTTACTTTGGCAGGCAGGTCTTGAGCAGGAAGCTAACAGAGGCCCTTAGCAATTTTTTGAGATTCCTATCTGTAGTTTCAAATGGCAGGATTCCTGTAGTTCAGTCTAGGTCAGGGGTGTCAAACTGCCTGCCTGCAGGCCAGATGTGTCATGCCAAAACCACGCCCACCCCATTACCGGCAATGGAGAAAAAGTTGCGATATGTCACGACATGTCACGTAACATTGCAAATTTGATACCCCTGGTCTAGATCATTCCCAGTAATCATTCTCATGAATCTCCATTATTGTCCCAGTTGTTTTCAACTTCAGGTAGACTTTCAACTACTCCAGTTGTTACTTTACTGTAACCATTGTGTTTTATATCTACCTCTTCAGAGCTAGGAAAGCTCTGGCTATCTTTACAAACCAGTCAAATTTGGGTATCACATTCAAGGCAGGGCATGTGTAAGTAAAGTTTATTCTCAAAGTAAATAATGAGTCACATCACACAAGCAGATGATTCTAAATTGTGTTCTGAAATATTCAATTACAAATTTCCATGGAAACACCTTCTAACTATTGTGTTTGAAATTATTTTATGGATTCTGTCTCCATGTCTCCCTTTCTTACGCCTTTCTTATCCAAATTGTGAAGTAGTGGTTCCCCAATTCAGAACAACCCAGGGCTGAGATCATTCTTGGTTTGGGCAAAATGGAGCACTGTACTTAATTGAAGATTTAACTGAAGAAAATGGATGTATGTACAAGCACAAGATTCATTTATAGTTTAATTCAATGTAATTTCCCAATAATGGCAACGGCGTTCGTTCAGTAATTTTAAATGCTATCCAAATCGCATTCAATCAAGATTTATTACAAAGTTTCAAAAACAATGTCACATTAATATGTCATTAGGCTACAGGTTGAATGAGATTCAATGGCTGGAACTTGACATTACTAATATAATAATTGTATATTATTCCCTAATCTGCTTTTCAGGCGTTCAACAACATTGACCGATTCTTCAATAATCTTGCAAGGAATTGCTTTGGTCAGAATACAAGTCCTGAAAACTGCACCCTTACTAAAATTTCTTGAACTTAGAATTTCTTGAACACCTGGACTAGAGTATTTAAGAATACATATACATATACATATGTACCTTTAAGAGACGAGATGAGACTAATAAGCTAATGTTTCAGGTTATATCTATCTATATCAGTACTATCAGTATCCAGAAGAGCCTCCTCTACCCTGTAGTACCCTTTGGAACATCTTATCCAGCGTAAGATCTGTCTCCACCCTCCTATCTTTCCATAAGAGCCTGAAGACCTGGCTTTGGTAGTTTGCCTGGGGAGTCAATAAGGAGCGACCACACTGGCTCCTAGACTGATACCACACCCCACTTCCCCCTTCGCTCTCTGCTTCCCTAGCTGCCCATCTTTTACTCTCACATTGCTGTGTTCACGTTTTTTATTATTCTATTATGCCATTACTTTTCTAGTGTAATGTTTACATGTCTTTTCATTTCTGTGTTTTTACTGTTGTAAGCTGCACATACATTGTAAAGATTGAAATGTTTCAAGGTACAGATTAAGGAGAAAGCTTTCATTAGTGCCAGCGACTCAATGACCATCAGCTTCAATGGAACAAAAATGAATGCCAAACTAAGTGAAGGAAAATGAGTTTTCATGTACTGGAAGTTCATTACCTCTCCTTTCCTTTCCCATTCACATTTTTGCAAAAATTAAAAACTGCTGTAAGTTAAATTGTAATCCAACTAAAAATAAGTTTAATGAAAAGTTTTATTCATTTAAAAAATGCAATGGTAGGTATTTCCTTCATTTCTAGCTTTACAATTGAGAATAGCTGTATAGTGAATAATTAGATCAGTTTTTGCTATATGGATTTTATATCTATCTCAGAGTCATTTTTTCCTAGTAAGGGTCTCTAGGTTCTCTGGGTTGATTGACATATTTGGAATGTATATATTTGCTTGAGTGCACATGAAATGTAATATTGAAACAGTTTCTATCTTTTTCACAATGCTGCATGAAGAGTGGGAAAAAAACACCATATCTACTCTCTAAATCTGCTGCTTGGTACAAGCTCTATTTTGCCCCTAGCCAGAACATTTCCAGCTGTGCACTCTCAGCCAGTACTGTGTTTTAACAGATATCTAAAATTCAAATGAACACCACCAAGAAAACAAAACAAACTCTTAAGTGATTTTAAACAAATAATAACTATCTCATAAATTAACGGCTCACTTGCATATAGATTCAAATGCTTCATTTTCTGTTTTTCTTCCTATAAGGCAATGTTTCCCAACCTTTCACTCCCAGAATTCCACAGCCAACATGGTCATTGTTGAGAATTCTGGGAATGGAAGTCCACACATCTGGAAATGGCTAAGGTTAGGAAACATTGCTTTAAGTTAGGGGTGTCAAACTGCCGGCCCGCGGGCCAGATGCGTCATGCCAAAACTGTGCCCACCCCATTGCCAGCAATGGAGAAAAAGTCATGATACATCACAACATGCCACATGACATTGTGAGTTTGACACCCCTGCTTTAAGTTATCTAGAAGGAACTTTTTAAAAGGTCTGTGCCATTGTTTTAAATGCATGTTTATATCTGTTGGACATTGCATCATCCATAAATTCATACAAAGCATCTCTTTAGATCATTGTGGTAAATTAAATAGCCATCAATAGGAATGGATACTTTAATCTTCCATAATTCTTTGGGCTCAGATTCTTTGGGTACTCTTGGAAATGGATGATAGTGTTGTTGCTGGCTACTCCAACAAACCATACACAAAAGTTGATTCTAAGTTTGGATGTAATTTCTTTTAATTTTGTGCTTTGAAAACACCAAGTTTATAACTTAATATATGCAAAAGGCAAGTTATTTCATTTTATGCTTGAATGAGATTTTATGCATCTCCCATTTGCTAAAATCAAGACTTTTTTGTCACCATGTGTAATCCATTAAAAAAATTCTTGAATATAATGTTGAGACCCTTATCTTTCATTTACAATAGTGAAATGGAATATTTATATTGCTATCAGCTAACAAAACTGATATATCAATTCTAATGCCATTTCCAAGTGCAAAAATGTATACATGATTTGGCAACATAGTTAATGACACAATCTAATATGAGGATATAGTTAACAAAAAAAAACTCTATGTGGAATATTCACCAGTGAAAATGTCTGCATTACAGTCAGTCAGTTCCTGTTGTCCTGTGCCTGACCCATTTTTTTCTCCCTGTCCTAGCACTGCCTTAAAATGCAATCTAATCCTGAGCAATTTTTTTCCCTAGTGGGTTCCTAAAAATGTGTTAACTGCACATTATCAAGTTCAGCAGTGACCTTAATTAATCAGTTCATAGTGCTGCCTGAAATTGACAAGGTCCTATTCAGTTTCACAATAAAGGTTTTTGCTTGCCTCCTAAGCAGCTCCTGGCTCCAGCCATCAGTCCACTAGGCAAACAACTGATGCTGGTACATTTATTTCAATGTGTATTGCTCATTGTATACCTTCTTACTCTCTTG